CCCAGCCGCTCTGATCGGTGTCTGCCACTGGGGACCCCGCGCACACCCGTCGTCTGGCTGTGGGAGCACGTGTCTGTGGTGACAGGTTCCTGGCTGCGGAAGCCCACAGGCCACTGCGGCTCCCGGACCCTGGCCGACCCTCTGGCCACACTGGGTCCCGCCTTACTTCCTGCTGCGTCCCTGCTCCCTGAATTCTCAGCGAGTCCCGTGTGGTGCCGTGTGGCGTGTCCTCCTGGAACCGTGGGAAGCGCTCTGCCTCCTCCTCCTTAGCTGCTGTCATTGCAGCGCAGACGGGTGGCGGTTATAGCGATGATTTTCCTAGGAGGCCGCTCAGGGTTGCCCAGCCTGACCTGGCGCCGTGGCCCCTGCCTGCGCGCTGTGTCCGGCCCGTATGAGAGCGACCCGAGTCTCTGAGCCTGCGTTCCCAGGGGACACTCAGCTCCCGAGGGGAACGCCCTGTCCTGGTCCCTGCAGCTCCCTCCACCCAGCACTGCAGAGCCCAGCCGTCTGTCCCTCGTCTTACCAGCTCCCGTCCACCTCGCTCACGCTTCTCGTTCCAACGGTGCGACTGCGGCCTGGAGCTCCCCTCCGTTTGTGCGGGAGCCGCCGCCCCTGCCCTGTTACACTGAGCGTGATGGTCACGGGAGGGGATCCCCAGTGAGAGCACTCCTGGAACCCACAGCTCGACGTGGCGTTTTCCACGTCCCAGGGAGACGCCACCTCAGCACAGTCTCTGTTCGTTAGAACCATTCCCTGCTACACCGCGTGCCCCGCGACCCCGTGGAGACGGTGCGCACATGCACTACGCGCTCTACACCTCACGCTGCAACCGTGTAATTATCTACTGGCTGGCAGCTGCTCCCTGACCCACGCGAGAGCTCGAAGTCTGACCGCTCACCCTGCCGCCAGCACTCGCACTCCCTGACCTGCAGCGGCCTGTGCGGGGGGCGTTGCCGTCCTTATTTTTCACGTGTTGGGTTGGGAGGACTTTGAGATTTGAAAGAAGGAAGGAAAATCTCATATCTCTGGACAGATGGGGGTGAGAGAGAGGGATGGGCCCTCCCTGAGCCACCGCGGGCACAGATGTGGGTGAGAGAGAGGGATGGGCCCTCCCTGAGCCACCGCGGGCACAGATGTGGGTGAGAGAGAGGGAGGGGGCCTCCATGGGACCCTGAGCCACCGCGGGCACAGATGGGGGTGAGAGAGAGGGAGGGGGCCTCCATGGGACCCTGAGCCACCACGGGCACAGATGGGGGTGAGAGAGAGGGATGGGCCTCCCTGAGCCACCGCGGGCACAGATGTGGGTGAGAGAAAGGGATGGGCCCTCCCTGAGCCACCGCGGGCACAGATGTGGGTGAGAGAGAGGGATGGGCCCTCCCTGAGCCACCGCGGGCACAGATGTGGGTGAGAGAAAGGGATGGGCCCTCCCTGAGCCACCGCGGGCACAGATGTGGGTGAGAGAAAGGGATGGGCCCTCCCTGAGCCACCGCGGGCACAGATGTGGGTGAGAGAAAGGGATGGGCCCTCCCTGAGCCACCGCGGGCACAGATGTGGGTGAGAGAAAGGGATGGGCCCTCCCTGAGCCACCGCGGGCACAGATGTGGGTGAGAGAAAGGGATGGGCCCTCCCTGAGCCACCGCGGGCACAGATGTGGGTGAGAGAAAGGGATGGGCCCTCCCTGAGCCACCGCGGGCACAGATGTGGGTGAGAGAAAGGGATGGGCCCTCCCTGAGCCACCGCGGGCACAGATGTGGGTGAGAGAAAGGGATGGGCCCTCCCTGAGCCACCGCGGGCACAGATGTGGGTGAGAGAAAGGGATGGGCCCTCCCTGAGCCACCGCGGGCACAGATGTGGGTGAGAGAAAGGGATGGGCCCTCCCTGAGCCACCGCGGGCACAGATGTGGGTGAGAGAAAGGGATGGGCCCTCCCTGAGCCACCGCGGGCACAGATGTGGGTGAGAGAAAGGGATGGGCCCTCCCTGAGCCACCGCGGGCACAGATGTGGGTGAGAGAAAGGGATGGGCCCTCCCTGAGCCACCGCGGGCACAGATGTGGGTGAGAGAAAGGGATGGGCCCTCCCTGAGCCACCGCGGGCACAGATGTGGGTGAGAGAAAGGGATGGGCCCTCCCTGAGCCACCGCGGGCACAGATGTGGGTGAGAGAAAGGGATGGGCCCTCCCTGAGCCACCGCGGGCACAGATGTGGGTGAGAGAAAGGGATGGGCCCTCCCTGAGCCACCGCGGGCACAGATGTGGGTGAGAGAAAGGGATGGGCCCTCCCTGAGCCACCGCGGGCACAGATGTGGGTGAGAGAAAGGGATGGGCCCTCCCTGAGCCACCGCGGGCACAGATGTGGGTGAGAGAAAGGGATGGGCCCTCCCTGAGCCACCGCGGGCACAGATGTGGGTGAGAGAAAGGGATGGGCCCTCCCTGAGCCACCGCGGGCACAGATGTGGGTGAGAGAAAGGGATGGGCCCTCCCTGAGCCACCGCGGGCACAGATGTGGGTGAGAGAAAGGGATGGGCCCTCCCTGAGCCACCGCGGGCACAGATGTGGGTGAGAGAAATTCAAAGTAAACATCATTACATAAAAGGGTACGGTCTTTTTTTTTTTTTTTTAGTTTTATTCATTTCAAACGGGCCGGATCCGGCCCGCGGGCCGTAGTTTGCCCACGGCTGGTCTAGACCCTCAGGGGCAGGGACCCCTGTGCGCTGGCCACACTAACTGCACACGACTCCTGACGCAGAGACGCAGGACGCCAAGAGCAGCAGCCACTCTGCATCCACACCCCCCAGCGGTCAGGACGTTGCGATTCTGTGGCTACTTGAGGCCAAACATTCATGTCAAACAGAGGGAAGAATCAGTCTGCAGCCCGCTGTGATTTATACAATGCCAGGCGCTTACAACTGAAGGAATGATGGGCGTATGTTCTCCACGTTTCCCTTCATAGACCCGCCACCCGACGACATCCTGAGTGCGTGTCTGTCATTCCAGTTACAGTGGAATCACAGCAAAACACAGCGATCGCTGCTGGATCTTTTCCAACTTCTTCAAACATTATTTTTCTCATTTGCAAAATTAAACGGGCGTACTGTCCGAGGCGGCCTCCCTGGCGCAGTGGCG